TAGGTTAAATATAAAAAAATTACTGTATTGAAAACAAATTTTTATTTTAATTGAATTTTAGTATAGGATATAATAGGATAATTAATTTTTTTTGATTTTTAGCTAATTTATAATATAGAAATCATCATTTAATAGTGATTCTTTTGTATTTAACTAGTGTAAATAACTTATATCAGAAATTTTATAAAGATGTTTTAATATATTATAAGTATAGAATGTTTAAATAATATATTAAAACATTATGTTCTAATATATTATAAATATAAAATATTCAAATAACATATTAGAATCTTGTATTTTAATATATTATAAATATGAAACATTCAAATAATATACTAAAATACTGTATTTTAGTATTCTACACTCCTTATTTAAAAGTTTAAAACCACTTAATAAATTATTGAAAATCATGATTATTTTTTTAACCAATTATTTTATCATAATTTATTATTTACAATATTATTTGTAAATAATTTTAAGAACTTTATTTATATTTAAAAAAATATATTTAATAAACTTTTGAAATAGTTTAATATAGACTAGTTTTTTATCAATTTTTTAATAAAAATTTAATTAATAATTTTAAATTTATTAAAAAAAAACTTTTATATAACAATAATATATATTTTTTTTTTATTGAAAATTCATGTTATATGTAATAAAAAAAAAATTCAATACTAAATCTTCAAAAATAAATAAATTAAAAATTATTAAAATTTCTAATATAAAAATGAATTTTTTTTTTATAAAAAAATTAATTAAAAAAATAATTTATTATACTTACATTTGTAAAAACTTAATAAAAATTAATCAATATCTAGTAAAATAATCATAAGATTTTATTACTACTTTTACTTTGTTTTCCATATTGTTAACTAGTTTTTGATAAATTTTATTTTCAATTTGTGATTAATATTTCTGTAAAAAAAATTTCAATTCTCTCAAATTTTTTGGATTTTCTTTTTTAGCTCAAATACATTATTTAAATTTATTCCATAGGTGTTTAATTGAATTTAAGTCAGGTAACTATTTTGACTACTGGAAAAAAAATATTTTCATTTGTTGTATAAAATTTTGTATTACTATACTAAAATAAATTAGTGTATTATCTTGTTAAAAAAGATGCCTCCTATTTTCTTCAAATTTTTTCAAAAATAATATCAAATGATAGTTAATAATTTCTTCTATATACCTGTTACTATTAATTTATTTATCAATTCTAATTAAAGAACCTAACCCATACCAAAAAAAATATTCTCATATCATAACATCTCTACCACTATACTTTACAATCGGAATAATGCAATTAATATCATATTTTTCTTTTGGAAACTACTATATATGAATTTTGCCATCATTTTTAAATAATGTGAATTGTAATTTATCACTTCAAATTATCTTTTTCAATTATTAATTATTCATGATTGCTTTTTACATATTCAATTTAAACAGATTTTTCTATTTTTTTTACTAATATTAGATTTTCTAAAAGCTGTTTGACTATAATATCCCATTTTATATAATGTACGCCTTAGTGTATTCTTGCTTACTTCATTTTCAGTACAGTTATTAAAATTTTCTTGTAATTGTTCAGATGATTTACAATGATTTTTAACAAGGATTATCTTGAGATGATGCTTATTATATTTAGTTAATTTTTTTGGTTGACCACTTCTAGGAATAACAGAAATAGTATTTTTTTCATGAAACCTAACTATAATGTTATAAATAGTAGTCTTTCTATATCCTATTTTTTTTTGAAATGGTTCTTTTTACTAATAATTTTTTCCCATTCAAAATTCAAAAGCTTTTTTTTTTTAACTATTTTGTAAAAACAAAAAATCATTAAATAAAACACAATTCATAATAATTATTATTAATGATTAGATAACACAAAAATATTTTTATTTATTTTATTTTAAGTCATACAATTATATAATTACATTTTTATATAAATCGTAGGGATGGTTTTAAACTTTTGAGTAGGGAGTGTATAAGTATAAAATATTTAAATAATGTATTAGAATATTTATCAAAAAATTTTTGGAGATAAATATATTTAGATTATATATGTTCTCAAAATTGATTTTGAATTTTTGAGGTATTTCGACTTTTTGAGATTTATGCAAAATCTATTCTATATATGGAAGTAAAAAAAGTACCTAGTTATATGTATCTTTAATCAAAAAATAAATTTGAGTGATCAAAAAATTTCAGGTTTTAAGTAAAATAATTTCGTCTTCTATGAAAAACTATTTCGACTTTTTTCTCTGAATTGTAATTTCGAGATTCCAAAATAATTTTGCGTGCAAGTATAATTTAGATATATTTGTCCACTTACACATTTATTCATATAAATTATATTAATTTACATTAATCTATATTTATCTACATTAATTTATATATTATATTAAATATATTTGTATATATTTAGTTTTTATTAATTGCAAATATATCTGCATATATTTGCAAGTGAAATTTTTCTGATATTGTATTCTAATATATTAGTACCATTTTAAAAATATTATATAAATGGTATTGTAAAATATTTTTATTTTTTGTTATAAGTTTATTTCATTATATATAGGTCAAATACAAATAATTGTTATATTGAAAAAGAATTCTGATTTTAGTTAATTTAAACAATTAATTTTTAGTAATTTTTAACTAATCAATAATATAGAAATTACAATTTGATACAGTAATTCTTTTGTAATTGACTAGTAACATGTTGAATATACAAGTCAAATATAAAAAATATGTCATATCAAAAAGAAATTTTGATTTTAGCTAATTTATAATATATGATATAATAGAATAATCAATTGTTACTGATTTTTAGCTAATCTATAGTATAGGAATTACCATTTGATCATTAGGAATTAAATAAAAATATTCTAATATATTATATAAACATTGTTCTATAGTATTCAACAAATGACACTAATATTTATATAACATATTAAATACAATGTTTTAATGTGTTCTACAAATGTTTCGTTCATATAGTATACTTATTCAAAATTATATAGAGATGTTCTAGTATGCTATATAAATGAAACATTCAAATAATATACTAAAAATATTAATTTTAATATGTTGTTAATGATAATCTGACCTTTAAAGAATATAATTAACTATTAGTTAAAGTTACAGTAGTTAAACTAAAATATATTACTACTAACTAATTTATACTAAAAAAAATATAATGTTTGAAGGATTTAAATATTGTGGATTTGTTCAAAAGAAGCAAAATTATGAGATTTTTATAAAGGTTTAACTAAACTATTCACAAAAGATAAGGTATAAACTAAACTAAATTGATAATTCCTAATACTAAATAGAGAATTATAACACAAAACTATATATCAAGATTATAAAGTAAAGTATAAATTAACAAGGGTTTTAATATTTCACTAAGGAATAATACAGAATTTTACTAAGAAATTATAACAGTATAAATAACAATTTATACAGGTATTTATTATTTATAAGGTAAATCACAAAATATTTTATTAATAGAATTAGCAAAGGAACTGAGAATTAACTATTAAACCAATTCTTTAACTAATTAAATTGAAACTGAACTGAACTAACTGAAAACTGAACAAAGAGAAATTCAGTCCTTTATATATATAATTGAAATTATAATAAATTATGCTATAGATTATACTAATGCATACACTATTAATTACACTAATGTATACATTATTAAATACACTTTCTATTACACTATCTATTACATAATATATTATACTATTGAATACACTATTGATTATATATACACTATGCTATTGATTACGCTCAGATCTACAGTTGCAATATTTAATAGTTGTACCAATTTCAAAATGATTTACATTAATAGTTTTCAATAAATATATACTAATAAAATATAAAATTAAGTTAATAAAATGATGATAAAATAATTAATAAATAAAAGTTGGCCATTAGGGTTAACAATATTATATAAACAAAACATTTGTAAAATGTCTTAGAATGGTATATTTTAATATACTATACAGTAGTTCACAAAAGTATTCAACAAAAAAAAAGTATCTTTGTTGTAATATTTTTTATTAATTTTAATAAAAAATTTAAAAAATTTTTATATATTTATATTTATTTTATTTAAAATTTAATATTAATATATTGATTATCACAATTAACACTTTGTGTCACCTGATGTTAATTGATTTTATTTATTTTATTGTTGCAATTCTTTTGCAACTTTTTTAATAAGGAAATAATGGATATTATAGGATTAAATACTTGATTGTATAATTGTATAATAATATTATTCTTGAGTTAATGAAATTAATTACAAACTATTATTATAAACCCTGGAATTGAAATAATACTTAATCTTGATGAATTGGAATAATACTCAATCATGATAAAACTGAATAAATAGATGTTAATACTAAAAGTAATGATGAACTTAAAAGATATTGAAATAAATTAAATGAAAGGTCTGATTCCCTTTCTAAAATAATTGAATCAGTGGTGCCTTCTAAAACAACTAAACAGTCTTACCTTCAGGAAAGGACTATAAACTTCTTAAAAGAACTGTTAAGTCACTTCACTGATTTGTCCTCAAGGGAACCAGGAATCACTGGTGACAACACAGATAAGTTATATTCTAATAAATTCATGTGAATATCCTGACAGATTAGCAATTAAGAAATAAGAATTTTAATTAATATAAGATTGATTATCATTGGCTTGAAAATCCACTATAAAACTTGCAAACCAAACTTATTTTGACCTGTAAACATAAGGTCCACAAGCCTATAAACTTATAATATTAGATTTGACTTAGCTTTATTTATAATAATTATAGAGATTTATGTCTAATAAAATTTTCTGATATTGTAAATAGCAATCAATCTTTATTTTTCAATATGTGAAATTTATTTAAGTATTGTCAAATTCTCAAATTAAATTATTTTTAGAGATTTAATTAAATTTGAAATTTATAAATCCCAACATAATTATTTGATCTAAAAAGAATCATCTCGTACAAAAATCAAATTGCCATTTTCTCTAATAATGTTTGGCCGATTTTCCATTTGACTTATTTGTTCCATAGTTTGTCTATAATCAGGATTTGATGGATTAAACTTTCGCGTAGATAATAATGCCTTAAAGTCAAATATATTTTGATATTCACTTATACACAGTACTTTATATGATAAAATTGATAATCTTGTTAAAGTTCTAATAATTGACCAAAATATATTGTTACTTTTTTACATTAACATTTATGGGAAAGCAATAAATATATTTACCCTTCCTTTGGTTCAAAATGTACACTAAATGGATAATTAGTGGATTTTGCAAAGGAAACCAAAGAAAAAATTTTCTAAAATTGGAAAATTTAGATAATTACTAAAATAACATGAACAATAAAAAATAAATAAATAAAAAATAAATAAATAATAAATAAATAACATACGACTAAATCTTGACGAGTAACTATGAATTGCACCTGTTCTTCAATATTGTATGTATCAAACTCACTTTTATATGCATATATATTAATTTCATCATTGGCTGAATGAATAAGAAAAAACAATATAAGATACGAAATACTTTAAAATTTAAAAGTACAAGATTTTTTATATAAATGTAGATGCTCCACCATCCGAACCATCATTGATACATTTTATATTAAGAACATTAACTCCATGGTTAAAGCGAATATCTTCATAATTTTTATCAATTATCTTCACCCATTTATCAAGAGTTGTTGAAGGAACGGACCATGAATTTTTAAATAGGTTTACGTTCGCATTCAATTCGATATCGAATTCATTTAATAAGTCATAAACAAAAGTATATTTGATTTTTGTTCCTATATATATACATATTAAAGAATGAAAGTTAGTAAATGGTAAAAAATAAATGAATAAATAAATGAATAAATAAATGAATAAATAAATAAATAAATAAATAATTCGTACCATTTTCAATAGTTTCAATGGAAAGAAAATTGTGAATAGAGGTTGATTCGTTATGTTCTGAAAGTATTATTGATGTGACATCTTTACTTTCACGGAATATATTTGCAATATTATTATCGGCCTCTAACTGGAAAATTTTTTTATATGGACAACACAATGATTTAAACATTTCTGCATTCATATTTATGAGAAAACGCCATGAGCCTTCAACGAAACCCGTTAATGTCAACTGTAATTGAAGATATAAGTTGATATTATATATTTAATTGATTATATATGTATTTGAATTCTAGAATAACCTTGCTTTGTTCAGCTACGATTATAACTTGAGCACAGTTACTAAATAATGTGTTCATTATTTCATAAAAATCTAAGGATATTATAATCAAAATTAGATTCTTTTATTTATTCATTTTAAGGTAAAAGGGAATATAATATAACTAATATATCTACAGGCTAGGTAGGGAGTTTTGACTTCGGCAAATAAGCAAATACTCATTTTCGTTTTTGTCTTGTCTTAAGTTGATGTATATAATTAAAATTTAATATTATCTTATTATCTAATTTTTTTTTAATCTTGCTTAAAAAACAAATATAGAAAATTATAGAATCAGACAAAAATAAAGTCCTAAACAAAAAATTTAATATCTTTTATCTTTTATAATTTTGTGATGTAAAGAACAGCACGTGTCTTTTTTTTTGCACCCAATCATGTGACACCTATATTTTCATATAAAAAATACCCAATTGCACAAAAGTATCAAGTATCAGAATCTATGTCAAATATGAATGGTACGATGCCTTCAAGGACTGTTGGAGGAAACCCTTTGATAGCAAGAGTTAATGGAAGAATGGGTATTATCCTTAGATTCTATTTTTTTCATAATCTTTCGTTCAAAAGATTAATGTTACATACGCGGTTAATTAAAATAAAAATGATATCGAGCTTTAGTAGATATCTATAAGTTCACTCTATTGATTCATATTTTTCATTATATTTAGCATCAAATGTGGCTTCATGGAATTATACTCCAAGTTCCTCATTAACGTCTCAAAACATCTCATCACGACAACAAACTTTTACATCATATCCAAACGCAATACATAATGTACATTCTCAGCAAAACGACATATTAGATATGTCTGAATTTCCAGCTTTAGGCAGTACCAACACAACTTCTAATAATGCATCTGCAAGTGGTCTGGGGTCAAGCTATGCAAACACAGCGCAAACAGGGACTAATTCTGTATCGAACGATAACAGATCTCTACATCATTCACAGCAGTCGCAGGAGTTTACAATTGATGACTTTCCGGCTTTGCCTGGAACAACAAGTAATACATCAAATCGAGGAGTAGTTGGTTCACAGTCAACGGTGTCGCAACATCATCTTGTAAATCAAAATATAGTTGATGGACTAACAAACGGAAATAACATCCCTACTGAAATGTCAACTTCCGGAGGTCAGGATGGACGAATTAATGTTGGTATGTTTTGGGCTTATTTTATTTCTGGGTATTGGCCAAGCATCAATTCCATAAAAATTAAAGATTTTACTCCTTGATGTAATATGATCAGGTGGACTAAGACCATCGACACAACCAGCAGTGAATTCTGTGTCCGAACAGAACAAAAAGGTGTGTGTACTACACACAGATATCGATTTATTGTAATTTAGTCAGTATATAATTAATTAAAAACCCATTCAACACAACCTAATGCAAACACTTTGGAAAATCAATAATGATACTGAATTATTTGAATTGTATCGCGTCGGGATTCGGCTTTTTATGGATACGTATAGAACTACTTTACAAAAGCCGGAGGTAGTGTACAAATCTTGCAACAATTTCCTTCTTCCTCATCTTCGATGATGCCGTATTCACTAAATGGGCCACTCACTCCATCAACGCCATACTCTATATCTTTAACGGGCACGCCTTATCCATATTCGTCAAACATACCAAATATGCAATCCTCCGTAGGAGCTGGAGCTGGACCTGGACCATCATCATCACCTTCTGGTGTTGCATCAGCAGATGGATTTGGATTACTCGGTTTACTAAGCGTAATACGGATGACAGATCCAGATTTAAGCATGTTGGCATTGGGAAGTGATCTTACAACATTAGGTTTAAATTTGAATTCGCCTGAGTATGTATCGATTCGAGGTAAACTCTACATTTTTTGGGTGCCTGGAAAAAAAGGACATTCTGGGAATCCAAAAAAAAGAAATTTATCTTTAACATTATTCTACTGGACCCGTATTTTTTAATATTTCCTTTTACAGTGCGCTTTACGCGACATTTACTTCACCGTGGGCAGAAAACAATCAAGTTGCAGGAATGATTGAACCCGAGTACCATTTACCATCTTGTTATAATGTACAACCACCACCACCAGCACAATCTAAAATAGGATCTTTTTCGGATGAGACGTTATTTTATATTTTTTATAGTATGCCACGAGACATATTACAGGAGGCTGCTGCACAAGAATTGTAAGTTTTTGTTAAATTATGTTCGTATAAATTAATAACGATATATATATATATATATATTTCACATTTTAACGTGTTACTTCCTTTCATTATAGATATAATCGTAATTGGCGTTACCATAAAGATCTTCGACTTTGGTTAACTAAGGAACAAGGAACCGAGCCATTTACAAAAACACAAGCTTTCGAGCGCGGTAATTACATTTTTTTCGATCCATCCAGCTGGGAAAAAGTCAAGAAAGATTTTCTTCTCATGTATGAATCGTTAGAAGAACGACCTGCTACAATGCTAAGTAGTGTGGGTGGGTCATCATCATCTACAAATCTTGGATCCTTAGCACCCTCTGGATTTCAATACTGACATAACTAAATATAAACTGTCCCATGAATTAATTAATGACCGACCTTCCGACTTTGGAATTATATACTTGAGTATTTCTTATATTTCAAAGCTTATTTTTTGTGCAATCTTGTATTCATAATAGAATATTTTATTATACTTAATAAATAAATTATTAAATTTACATCATGTTATTTTAAAAAATGTATTTTGAAATTTTAATTTATGTATTTATAAAAGGATCCGTGCGTTGGATTGACATGGGCATTATTTATTATAATTCTTGATTGAATATTGTTTTTATTTTTATAAAGGAATCTGGGAAACAATAAAGGCTTACAAGGTGCAAAATCAAAATTAAGCATATTTTATTGAAATTAGGAAGAATTCCATTATTTTACTGATGTATAAAGATTGATTAAACCTTGGCATGTTTTTATGAATTCATTATTAGGTTTACTCTTAACTAATATTTATCAATTTTACACAAAGTTTATAAAATGGTTTTTCTTCTGTAATTGCATCTTTTATAGTTTATTAATTGGACACCCTGCGATTACAAATATAAAAATACTATAATTTGAATTAAAATACTGTAATTTGAATTAAAATACTGTAATTTGAATTAAAAGTACTGTAATTGCACAAAAAATCATAAACTGTATTTTATGGGGTCAACTAATATGACAAATTTATTGAATATAAGAAGTATTAAAAATTCAACACGAACCATAGGTATTTTGATTACATGAATTATAATAACATAGAACTTTACTTTATCTTCAACTCTACTGAAAATTCGAGAATTCAATTTTTGAATATTACATTTTTCAACGAGAATATAAAGCTATTGTTTGTTTCCATATCAATATCTTCGATTTTTAATTATTCCAAGCTAAAGGATTGTTAATCCCTAAGTAACTTATCAGTTCTTGTAACTTTTACGATAAATACTGTCTCTACTTCCTCGAAGAATTAATTGAATTAATTGAATTTCTATAGTATATTTTCTAAAAAAATATATAGTAGATAGTTGAATTACTCTTGGAAGTAATTCGGGAGTTTGAATGATTCTTGCTGGTAAAACAAGGGATTTAACTGGTTAATTTGGAAATATAAGATATTGGTTCAAATCATCCCAAAGCTGCATTCCAAGGATTTCTCTATAAGGCTTTATTTTCTCCCAAATATATAATATCAGAAATATGAATATTGTCGTAGAGTTCATAGAATTTTATGCAATTTCTCATTTGATAACATAATCCCAAATTTTAATTTCTTCTAATTACAAGTTCTCTTTTTAAAATAGAAACTAATGCTCTTTCTTGAAATGAAGTGAAATAAAATCTCCTGATTCAATTCAAATTTGGATAATTTGCTTCAAACCTTTAAAAACATCCATTTATTACTATCAAAGATTTGGATTCAACAAATTTCAATTTATTAGCACTAATTATTAATTCATAAATGGTTCTAGTATCCAACGTTAACAATTCCACTATAGATGTATATTTAAATGTATAATAAAACGCATATTTAATTACGACATTGTTATATCACACCAGTAGTGTTCAACACCAGTGATTATCAACCAATAAAAATAGAACACATGATTCAATAAAAATCGGCACATGATTTTGTAACTGTGATGTTATTTATGTTATTTAAGTAGTTTTTTAATCAAATAAAATATGCGTTACATTATATCATACTATAAAAAATAAATTTTTTGAATAAAAATGACATGTATTTATCCTTTTCCAACAATCCCTTCATCTTGCCCACTGGTCTTGAAGTTAATTGGCAGTGATCTTTTCTTTCACTAGACAAGTTCATACATTATATCCTTTTTCATTACAAATTCTGCATGTTCTTTTATTGCTAGATTCACCATTTGTTAATTCATTTGATCCATTATCTTGTAAAATTTTTTGAAGCTTTTTATGTAGCAATTTCTTGTGACTTTTATCATCAATACTATTTTCTTTGTCATTTTGATTGGGTTCAAACATCTCTCTTTTTTTGCCTTTACGATTTGTGTTCACATGATCAAAACCTTTGAGCTTCTGGCCTTTCGTCTTGATATCAATAGGATTATTAATAGTAGAAGCAAACTCGATAATATCATTGCCATTCTTAACTTGACCAATAATTTCAGTTTCCATTTTCTTGGCTAACTTTAAGTAAATTTCATAAAGTTCCTCTGTTCTTTCTGTTATAATGGTCAAATTAAGTATTTTTTTCATAATACCAAATCCTCTTCCATATTGTTACTTTTGAGTCATCTCTTTACAAATCTTTCTAGTAAAGACATAGTTGTCCCGAATAGTATCTAAATGTAAAAAATCAACTTCAGTAATATAGGTACTATCCAAATTTAAAATGCTAAATTCCAAATCTCAAATCTCAAATTACTAATTGTCAAAATTCCAAATTTCAAATTATGCCAAATCCCAAATTCCAAATACTATAAAAACTAAATTTTGACAGTTGAAATGTCAAAATAATTTGGGATTTGGGTGACATGTATATTCGATAGCATGCTCAACTGTATCAAATTCCTGACTTGAAGTTGCTAAAAGAGCTGGCTCATGATGAAAACTTAAATTTCCATCCATAACTGACAAATCCGTATGCTAACGTTATAGCACAAGTCCAATATGAAATTTAGTGGTGGAGGAAATCAACATTACCACAAAAAAATGAAAGTATATAAGATCACGATTGATTAATGTTAGACACGTACAAAGATGTGTTACATTGTTATATAATACTATAAAATGTTCACTTCTTTTATTAATAGAAGATACACATCAAAGTTCATGAATTCTTATCAGATCAAGATCTGTAATTAACTGGTCAAGTTTGATTATATAGGTGTCAAACAAATCCTCCGAAAATATGTTTTCTGGTGAATCTGATGCAACCTATTACAAATCAAAAATATTATTTAGTAAGAAGAATAACAAAGAAAAAAACTTAATAAAAACTATATGCAAATATCCATTTTTCAAATTCGTCCTCTAAACTAATTATTTGATATCAATAGTGCATGCTGTGATTTATTTCGTGACATTGTAGTTTAAGAATTGTTGGCATCAGATAATGTTAACAGGATACATCAAACCTTTTGAAGTAATAGTTATAATAGTCTTTATCTTGACTTACAGGAAGCTTACTCATAATCTCATTCAACTTAATAAATTAATTTTCTTTCAACAACAGCCTTTCAATTACAGATTCGAGTTCTATAAGAGTAGTCATCCCATTTATATGATTTTTAATAATCCTGTTGTATAATTTGACACATTGAGTATTTTGTATTCCTATATTAAATGCATAATGTATAAAACACGGCATCCAGGCTTTTCGACAATGGTAAAGCTGACATTGTAAGTAATTGACAGTATCATCATATTTAGATAATAGTTTAACCCATCTTTCCTCAAAAATTGATTCTACATGGCTATTCCATGCATGACAAAATGCTGCAAAAAATTTGTTCCATTTTTTGTCATAATATTTATTCAAAAAATACTTTTTTCAATTCTTTCTAATATGGAATAAGCAAAAATGATGCTTAGTTTTTGGTCAAGAATTGTTTACTACAGCAACCATCACAGGATCAGCATCTGTATAGAGCAAATACAATATTAATTCACCTGTTGTATTAAGAAAACTCTGAAATACTTATTCAAAACTATTCTTGATTTTGTTCAAAAGTACGGCCGTTACTACAAGACGAGAGTAATTATGATTATTTACAATAATAATAACACACAAAATCATCAAATGGCAATTTATTTTAGTAGTTGTATCAAAAAGAATAATGTTGTGAAAACGTGAACACAGTACTTGTTGACTTGGACGCATCTAGCAAAACTAATAAGATGATTATCTTGGTCTTCAAATTGTGCATCAATATGAAAAGACAAATTTTCTTGTTGTTATTTCATAAAATCAAGATACATTGATCTAGCGTCACTTTTAACATGTTTTTTTTCGTGGTGAATAGAATTAACCAAGTTATATACATTACAATCATGGATATATTTTTTCAGATTTTTGTACTGCAAAATTTTAATAATTGCACTAGGACATATACCACATGCAACGAGCAACTGAATATCATCATGTATTTCTGGAATAAACCTTCGATAACTGGACGCGAGAGCAGAAATGTTTTCTACAAGTTCATAATTATGTTAATTTTTGACCTTTGTGATATAAACTAGATTGTCATTTTTCCAGCAGTAGATGTTAATACAAAATTTGCAGTTGGTAGAGTTATGTCCTTTATTATAACTTTCTTTTGTATATGCTTCTTTTCTAGACACATATTTTTGATTTCGCAAGCATGCATAAATATGTTGTCTAGATAATCTGTTCTCTTTATCTTTTTCACTATGAGTTATTGTAAATACAAAACCTTGTTCTAGTCTATGGTTTTTAATTCACCTTGAAATTAAAAAACAGTTTAGATTAGTTTAGGTTAATTTAAGATCATAATATCTTCAGACACTCATCAGTAATTATATTAATTCGAAAACCTTCGAAATTATATCGCAACGTTAGATTTCGAAGGTTATCGATTGTGTTGCAACCCTTCGAAATCGAAATTTAACGGTTAAATTTCGATACGTAATATTTCGTTATCAAAAACCTTCAAAGTTCAA